TGATTGCAAATATTAAAGGTCTTCATATGGGATAGTTATCATCAAAAGTGAAGTTTGAAATTTAGAGTAGCTAGTTGGAAAACTTTGGCAGGAAAAGAAAGAAATAGCTGGGAAAACGAAAGAAGCCAGTGACCCAAAAACACAAAAGCATAGTAGCTAGATAGAGAGGCTAGGGTTTTTGTTTATCTTTTATTATTAGTATAATTTGTAAAAGCTTATGATTCTCTGCTCCCTCGAACAGCACGCAAACACTCTCCAGCACGCAGCCATTGGTGATGAGGTTGCCTCTGCAGAACTGCATGTGCCTCTCTCTCTCTCTCCCCCATCTCTCTCTCTCTCACACACACACACACAGAGGCCACATATGAACATGAAGCTATATACAAAGTATATATATATATTATCGTACCATCAGTCAATTCGTAAAGCTAAATATAAGAATGGGGTTTCAGTTTGGTGATTCTTGGATTTAACACAAACCAAACACGCTTGTATGTACATTTTCTTTGTGAGATTGTACCAAGAACTAACCCTCTCTCTCTCTCAAGCTTTATTTATTTATTTATTTATTTTCTTCTCTCCCATACTTTGATTTGCTCCCCTTTTTAGGAGAAACCCAAATTGTTGTTTTGGTTTTGGCTTAGTCTGTGTTCTTCATATTCACATCCTTCTCTCTGTCTTTTTCTCTGTATCATCAAAAACCCTAAAAACCCTCTTTGTCATGCGCATCCCCCTCTAGCAAGTTTTTGTCACATGTTAACTCATATCTTAGCCTTCCTCCCATCACTTTTTGTTTCTTTCTATTTGTATCTGAGTTTCAGCTAATTATACTGTTTGCTTATTATGCCTTTGTTTCTCTCTAACTTTGTTTATTTACCTTTTCTCCTCTTCTTCATCTCCGCACACTTAACTATCAACTTCACAGATATAATATGCATCTCTTTCCTTTTCATTCTCTTCTAACTTTTTGTTTTTAGTTTTATTTCTAATCATCAATTAGGAAAATTTGCTGAAACAAAAACCCCTCATTACATAATTTATTGTGCACAGGCACATATACCTAAATTCGTAGGCCCTCCTTGAATGGGTATAACTCATTTTGAACACGAATAACTATCTTGTGCAACTATCTTCCATTGTACACCTAATTGAAAATATGTTGTAAATAGTTGAAAAAGAGTTACACCTGTTGAAAATACTCTGCACCTGAATCTTTAAATAAATTTTAGGTGCTTTTTGATAATAAATTTTGCAATGGGGAATTTTTTTAGTCCCAATCAATTATCATAAAATTTTATTTTTGTGTTAATATAAGATACTACCTCGGGTCCTTAATATAAGACCTCGTTGAACTTTTATTTTGGTCCTAAATATAAGACCCCAATCCACTTTGTCTCTCATATTTATTCATATTTTTTTCAAAATAGTCCTTCTAATAATAATAATTCTAGCTAATACACTTGATTAATAGGAATGTTTTAGGAATGACAACATCTATTTGTTACAAAAAACTAACTTAACTTATTTCTTTAATCTCCTCAAATTAGCCAACTAGCTCTTATTATTAGGAGCGGAGGTAGTATATAGAAAACGCATTGTTCTCACTCAGCCCATGGACAATAATACAGCTTTTTCTCTTATTTAAACTTCAATAAATATGATTCTAATCACTATAATTGATGGACATGGTGAAGCATATTTTGTCATTTTGTTGTCGAGAAAAAAGACCCTGAAATCCAAACAAACAAAGAAGCACTACACAAAAAACCTTAACAGGCGCGGGTACCTGAAAACATAATAATATTAGAACAATCCAAATATAACGTGCGTCAACCCGTGAGATATTTAAAATTAGTAATAGTGATTAGCAGAAACACTCAGAGGGTATTTGGGGCAAGGAAAGCAAAATCTTTTTCCTTTCTTATCGTACTTCTGAAAAAATCGCAAACTGTAATATTCATTATTATATTAACTATTATTTAATCGAACAATAATTGTTTGTTTTTTATTATATTTTATTCGTATTTTTCATAACCACTTCTTTATTGGGAAAATGATAAGAAAAGACCAAATTCCAAATCATATATCTTACAAAAATATGTTATTTTGCAAATCCAATGTTGTCAAAACCTTTTAAAACGAATCCTGATTTGAAATTTAGTAATTTTTAAAGTCTTTATTTCACTTTATTTTTATCATATTGTATTAAACATATCAAACTACTTCAAGCTTAAGGAAGCACATCTTTTGCACTTTCCATAATATGGCCTACATATTAGAGATAAATTAATTATTAATTTGAAAGGAAGAAGACTTGAGAAAGAATCATGGACAAGTCACGACAAGCTAGAGGAGTCACTTTCAACCAAGACTTTTATAAACCTAACCCAACTCTAATTAATATTGAGAACATCCAAAACATTTCATAATTTTGTAAGGGAAGGAAAAGTGAAATTCCACATCCATACTTGAAAAAAAAAAAAAAGAGTCCACTTCTTCTGATCACTATCATAGATAAAAATTGTCGTAACCAGTGCGACTAAGATTATCTTTTAGAAGCCAATCTGCCTTCAGAGCTGTATATGCCACACTAACAAACAATTGGTACTCCACAAGCACTATGCAACTTGCCTAAATAATTAATTTTTCTTTTGGTACCTAAATTTTAGGTAGGAGCTCGGCTCAACCCAAGCCAAAGGCAGAGCATTTGAATGGCTCTTTCCGAGTGATATCAATGTTGGACAGGACAAACCTTCACTATACCCTCAAGCATTAACCTAAAAACCCTTATTCTAAGATGCCTCTCCAAGTACCGCCATGGGACCTTTTTTTTTTTTTTTTTTTTGGTATAAAAAAATTTAGATGAGTTGAGTCCTGAAAGCTCATCAGGGCCATGGGACCTCTCTTTTGATCAAAAGGGTGTAGTGCTGAACCCATAATTGATAATCTCAACTATCATAGGATTCCATGATTTTGTAAGAATAACAACGAGAGGATGATCCCCCACCTGAAAATAGTGTGAAAGGCCCCTGATAGATAAGCCCACGTAGAAGCCCAAAAGAAACTAAAAAAGCCCTGCCCAAACGGCCACTTAAGTTTAAAAAAAAAAAAAGTAAATAAACTTTTTGATTTATGAATGGGTTAAATGGCAAATTAATGCTAGGGTTTTCTGGCGAGTGCGCGTGGAAGAAGTTCATGATTGTGTACCAAGATATACGCTTTGCAAAGTATTAAAAAAAATTATAATAAGGTCTCATCTAAGAGAATTAAATAGAAAAAAGTCTCTTAAAACTATCAAATTATTTTAAAGTTCTAAGAGATTTCATTGCAAGATATTTTTTTGTTTAATTATCAAATTGCCCTTATTTTTTTTAAATATGTATTGACAATTGAAAGAGAAGTTATTAACAACTATCACGGTATGTTAACAATTATCACGGTATATATTAACAATATATTTTCTCAACGCATCACAAAATATAATACATAAGTTGGTAATATCTGCCGCAATAGTTGTTAATAGTTACATGTTAAGTTACTAATGATTGTACTTTTAGTTATCAATGCATACTTAAAAAAAGAGGGTAATTTGATAATTAAAACAAATAGAATTTATTGCAAAAGACTTCAAATTAATTTGATGATTTTAATAGACTTTTTTGTATTTAAGTCTCTTGAATGGGACCTTATTACAATTTTTCCTAAAAAAAGTGTTTATGTTGCTTATATTAGATCTATAAAGTATAAAACTAGTGTGAAAGCATTGAGAGTTGAGACAAAAGAGTTCCCTGTAGGAATTGGTTTATACTCTATCGAGGATCATCCTTAAGATATATTATTTTTTGCCCTTAATATAAGAACTAGATAACTAATTTAGAAATATTAAGAAAATTACTTAAATTGGTTATTTATCACATCTGTATTGACCTTTCTAAAATATCATCTTCAATTATGTGTATTGGATAATGAGAATTATCCCTTGATGAGAATCTCTTGCTATCAATAAGAATATTTTAGGAAAAAAAGAAAGACTGTGAATTGAGATGCTATATTTAGACTCAAATCTAACCCTCCAACTAACCCTTGTATTAGGGATCAAAGGTAATAATCTAGATGGTTGAAATGATGAAAGGCATAAGGAGTTCATTTTGATCGCAAAACTCCTACTTAGCTTGATTGTAGATTTTATTGAACCGCTAGAAAACCAATGAAATTATATGATACTGAATGTTAGGCTTAAAATTGGGGTAAGCCAAGATCTGTCATAACCATATTATAAGATAACTTGGTGTGAAATTTATTGAGGAGAAATTATTTTTTTTAAAAATCATTTGGTTACATGCAAAGAATGCCAATGGAGGCGCTAATAAGCGGGTCTGAACTAATATGTTTTTTTTCATAGAAAGATCAAAAGCTGTATATGATACAGAAAAAGGATTTCAAAGTTAATAATTACAGGGATCCCATAGAAGAACCTAGAGGAGGAAAGCTTAACAAAGGAAATAATGCACTTTAACTGATAATGAGAAAAGAAAAGGAGGATAGGTTAAATAGTCTAAGAATATCTACAAGCTATAATACGAATCCCTTTCGAGGAAAGCGTTGCCATGGACATGATATGCTTTTTATGGCAGACAAACTTCAACAAGCTAAGATTTAAGGAATTAGAAGAACTAGCATATCTTGAGATATGTGGGAGCTGATAATTTTTAGCCCCGTAAAAAGAGGTAGGAGAATAAAAAGAACACTAAGAAAAGTTATCAATCCAGATACACTGTTTAATGGCATATAGCACAATGATGTTTTATAAATAAATAAATAAAGGCACAATGATGTTGCATGATGAATATAATTAGACCCACTTAGTACAATAAGACTATTTTTTTGATTTAATGCCGACTGAACCACGCAATCAATGGCGAGAAAAAAGAAACTTGAGGTCCGAGTTTCATTGTTTTACGATTTCCAACTGTATGTTCAGTGTTCACCTCCAAAGAGACAAGATAAAAGACAGTTAAGACAAATTTCAAACTTGCAAAAGACAATTTGAAGCTACAAATAAAATTGAGATCAGGCTATTAGTTTAACACAGAACATCTATGTCACTTTGTATAAGATTGACACAATTTATTTTTAAAAAAAATATGTATACCATTGTTGTTATGTGAATAACATGGAGAGGACTATGTTCAGAAGGGATTAGTCCAGGGCATCCTCTTGCTTCGTTTGCTCTTCCCATCTGACTTGGTCCTTCACAACTGAACATGATAATCCCCTACTTTGAATGCGGCAGCTTCTCCAGAGCGTCACTAGCAGTAATCAATATGATCTGAGCCATCGGATTAAATGTTATCTGAAGTCTTGATTCTTGTTCAATATAGGACATCCATTATACTTACTTGTGACATAATCCATCTTTAATAAATTGAAAGGATTAGTTCTGCATTTCTTTAACGACACGGGATCCACCTTTCACTTCGTGCCTGAGTAATCTTGACGTGGAACCATCATTGTTGAGGAGGATGATCCTTGAAAAGAACCATATTACAGTGAAACCAAAGGGTAACAGACACATCTTCCAGTATATTTGTTGGCATTCTAGTGATCCATGGCCCATCTTCATGCACTCCTCTTGATAGATATGCAGCCCACTCTGACAACTGATGGATCTATATAGTATTTTGTGCAGACTTGTCCGCAATGATTATTATGATAGAAAATCTAAACAAGGAGAACACGGGGGTGGAGTGCAACAAATTACCGTATTTATCTGGTTAGAAATTAAAATAATATAGTGGGATCGGTATATAAATCAAATTTAGTGGCACATATTAAAGGAATGACTTGAGATAAAATCAACGCCAAAAAATTCTAAACAATTGCCTCTACATTGGATAACATGAATGAAATTCACACACAAGGCACATAATCCAGCCAGTATCATTCCCGCATAAGACACAATTAAAGAGCATTGACGTGCTAAATTTCATTACTTAAAGTCAGACATGCAGAAAAGATTGCATATATGAAAGCCTAATTTCCATAGTAGTTCCATCTAAATATAAAGAATACTTTCACAAATTACGTGAGCATTTGTCCACAAACAACAAGCTACTAGTTTGCTAAGAGGCATGTAAAGTCCAATGTATCTACTAGTGGGAAAGAGATCATCAAAAGTATCACAAGGCACTGTTTTCCTTTATATAAGATAAAGTATGCTTATGTTCAAATAGCCACCTTATAAGGAAATCTACAGCCTTTAAAAAAGGAAAATAAAAAAATTAAAGATCAAACCAGGCTACATCAATTGTTTCTACAATTTTAAAACTGACTTCAATTAAGCATGCAGAGTCCCTTGGTCTCAGACTCTCAGTACAATTCATCTTTATTTACTTCAATCATATTTTCATAAGACATATTAACTATCAAACACATTGTATTTTGTTTTAATAAATTTTGTGTATCACATTAACAAAACTAAGATACCTGAGCATGGGAATAGGCTATCATTATGCTTAAGCACTTCTCTCCATTTATTTAGGTTTGGGCGAGTGTTCTTCAATGCTTGTATAACTGTGTACGTCCCTGAAAGCAAATAGAGAAAGCAAAAAAGACATCTGTAAGTCCATATGCGTGTTATGTAAAACTGTAATTTAATCTTAGTGGTCAGTACCTTCCAAGAGGTTTATGGATGACTTCTCAATATAGGAGTACATGTGGTTCTATGAGATATAGAGAAGTGCTTGGATGTGAATTTGGGGGACTTGTTTCTAGAACTAAATCACCAATAGTCCTGACAAGAACAATATCCACCCTTGAAATGATGGAACCGCTTAACATCACGAACAACTATTTCTCTATCGGTTATGTCTGAGACAAGTTTCATATAATTATGGCAGTCACCACAGATGCGGAGGTTTTTAAAAATCCTGATCTGTTTCTTAGGGGTAGTGCTCAATAGTGCAAATGCAAGAGCCAGCTTTTCACTATGATGAATGAGATAATCCCGTTTCTCTTCATCATGAACTTTATGAAGAACATGTTCTATTTGGGGGACATAACCCACTGATCTGAGTTTTCTATCCAGCTCTTCCAACTTCGAATGAATTTCCAGTATACTTGGATGCACTCCATCAGACACAAAGACATGTACTTGATTATTGATCTCTACCCAACTACATCCAGGTTCCTTTTTCACACCCTGGCTGGACATCAAGGCCCTCACTTTTTTGACCTCTGTCCACTTTTCTTTACCAGCAAAAATGTTAGACAGCAATATGTAATTTGAGTCTGTCTCAGGTTTAAGCTCAAAGATCTTCTCTGATGCTCGTTCACCAAGTTTAATGTTTCCATGTTTTGCGCATGCGCCCAAAATGGTCTCCCAGACTAAGGCATTATGTGTCAAATTCATCTCCTCAACTAGGCTTTCAACCTCATCAAATCTTCCAGCACGGCTGAGAATATCAACCATACAAGCATAATGCTCATCCGTAGGACTTATGCCATACAAGCTGCTCATGCAATCAAAGTACTGTTTCCCTTCTTCAACAAGACCAATGTGACTACAAGCAGAAAGAACACCTATAAAGGTAACTTCATCAGGTAAGTAGTTGTTGTCTTTCATTTCTTCAAAGATCTTGAGGGCCTTTTCTCCTTGACCATGTGCAGAAAAGCCACATATCATAGTGTTCCACAATACCGTATCATATCCAACCAAGCCCTTAAATATAATCTCAGCATCTTCAATGCGCCCACATTTTGCATACATATCAACAAGGGCACTGGAAACAAACATATCACACAGATGTCCACTCTTAATTACCATTGAGTGAAGCTGTCTTCCACTTTCAGTGGCAGTAATTCGGGAACAACCACTTATACAACTAGCAAGAGTGAACTCATTGGGTTTTACTCCTTCTCTCTGCATTAGATTGATGCAATCAATAGCCTTCTCTGCTAGGTCATTCTGGACAAAACCAGTGATAATTACTGTCCATGTAAAGACATTTCGACTAACCAACTTGTTAAAAGCCACACAGGATTCTTCCATACACCCACATTTGGCATACATGTCCAAAAGGGCTGTCACAACATAGTCATTGCCATTAAGGTTGTTTTTAAAAACCTGAGCATGAACTTGCTTGCCAAAGCCTAAGTCTAAGTGGCTAGAGCAAGATCTTAAAACACTGATGAACGAATACATATTGGGTCTAAAACCTTCCACAAGCATCTGATAAAAGTTCTGGGACCTGATTCACTATAATCATAGTCATGATATCCAGACAACAAAGAATTCCAAGAGATAAGATCTCGTCCTGCCATTGCCTCAAAGACACGGGCACCATCATGCACACAGCCATTTTTCATGTACATCCTGATGAGGGCATTACTTACTGAGATATCAGATTCAAACCCATATTTCAGAATACAAGCATGGATACTTTCTCCAATATGCAAGTTCCCCATTTCAGTGGAAGCACTGACAACACTCGCAAAGGTAAATTGATTTGGTTGAACATGCCTACGTCTCATCAAGTTAAACAGCTTGGTTGCTTCACTGTGATGCCCTTGCTGATCAAGGCAAGAGATCATAGTACTCCAGGACACAACATCATGATCTTCCATCATGGAGAAAAGTCTTAGGGCATCACCTACCAGCAAACAGGTTGAGTACATATCTATAAGATTGCAGGCCAAGAAATTATCTAGCTCAAACCCACTTTGATTGCCAAACAATGCGCAATCTGGCCATTTCTCAGGTCTCCTGAATTCTCACAACCCTTTAGAACACTGGATAAGGTATATTTACTGAACTTCACTTCCGATTTTAGCATTTTTCCAAACAATCTAATAATTTCTTTGCCATGGCCCAATTGAGCATGGCGACTAAGCAATACATTCCATAAAACTTCGTTCTGCTCAGGCATGCAAAAGAACATCTTATCAGCGAGGCTTATTTCACCACATTTAGCATAGAGGTCAATTAGTGCAGACCCAATAAATGAATCAGATAATAAGCCAACCTTAATTGCTTCTGCTTTAACCTGTTTCCCAAAATCTATGTTCGCACACATACAACAGGCTCTCAAACAAGTGGCTAAGGTGAACTCATTGGGCCTTATACCTTCCCTACGCATCTCACAGAACAAATTTATACCTTCCCTGGCATTGCCTTGAGCTACAAAACCGTTAATCACTGTGGTCCAAGATACAACATCTTGTTGAGACATGTTAGCAAGCACCTGTCGTGCATAAGCTGGACGACCACATTTTGCATACATGTTAATGAGTGAAACCCAAAAGTGAGAATCTGGGTCCACCCCACTCCTTACCTGATGGCCGTGTACGGCCCTTCCCTCATTCAAAGATTCTTTGAAAGCACAAGTATGCAGCCATGCTGAATACTGTTTAATCCTCTCCTTGCTATTCACATTCACAGGCTCCTCTTCTTTACTGTCCCTGTGAGACTCTGAATTGGTCCTTTTCAAACCAGGAACTCTTCTTCCAGGCATTGCCCATAAATTTTCAGTGTTAGCCTGACTCATTAAGCTTTGCCTATCCACAAAGGCTGAATTGCTTGTGCCCATTGCAACACTACATAAGGATTTGACACGAACCGTAACGTTAATATACTTGGAATTATTGAAAACCCTGCTGGGATGTTGAAGACAGGGTAGGCTCGGCATTTCAGAAGCAACAGCTGGATATTCCATCAAATCATTCGATTTTAATGAGCTGCACCAGAAACAACCAACAAAATATCAAACCATGAAAAGGACAACAAAGCTATAATCCAAAGGGGGAATCCGAACAGCATAAATATGAGAAATACAGAGTTCCAACACAGAAAATAACTGGTTCTTGTCTTCCGTAGGGTGTTGAGCTTTGATAAAACGAATGGTTTCGGTAAAGGAGCACCTACCTAAGCGGCTGAGTCTGGCAAGACAGGTAAGTATAGAAGTCGAATTTGGTAATAGGCTTCGGTGCGCCGGGTGCTCAGAAGCAAAAATGACGTACAGTTTTGTGCTTTTCCCTCCAAGCTATTCTGTTAATAAAACGCTAGCAGTCTAGCAACTAGCAGGCAGAGTGGGACACTGGGACTCTGGGAGAGGCAGAGGCGCAAGCGAAGAACGCAAAATGAAGGTCGAAGAAGACAATCGAATCTCTGGAATTTCAAACTAGGGAGTGAAGGAGAACGAAAGGCTGAGGCGCAGAAGGGGAAAACGCAGTGGCGTAGAGGAGCGAGAAGTTATAGCCGTCGATGTCGAGTGACGAAGACGGTGGTTGGCGTCGTTGCCGACTCGCCGTGGTGGATTTGCCGGTCTGGTAAAGCGCCGCTCAGGTGGGTATAGTAGAGTCTGATATTGAGGCGCGGAGACGGCAGCACGCTGGGTGGGAATAGCTGAAACCTTGAAGGAAGGCGGGACGCAGTTATTTTCTGTTTTTTTCTTTTTCTATTTTTGAAAAAGGAAAGATAATAGGGGCTTTTTACCAATATAGATTAACAGTAAAATTATATACCAAAATGCTATACTTTTGAAACTATTTACCAATACTGTACTTAAAATCGTTCTTGCAAGAACGATTTTGAAATTACACACAAGTCGTTTTTGAATTACACACAAGTCGTTCTTGGCGTGAGCGATTTCTGAAATCGTTCACGCTAAAACGATTTTACTTTTTCCTGTTCCTCTCCACATACGAATCTCTGCAAATTTTACATGCAAAAATAAGAATCTTTGACAATATTCACACGAGGCTACAATGTCTATATTGGGTTAAAATTTGAAAATTCTAATTTTTTTAATTTTTTAAATAGAGCTTGATGAAATTTTCTGTCATTTCCTCTTCTTTTTATTTTTCTCATACCAAACAATACGTAACAAAAAAAAATTATGCTTTGATTATAAATTTTTAATTGTAGCAATTAAGTTGCAGGACTAAATTATTATTATTATTATTTTGGTCACAGGCATAAAAGGTCCATATCCAATACTTGATTTCTCATCAAACCGAACAAATACCACACGACAGGCTTTTTTACCAAAATACTACAAAAAGTAAAATTATATACTAATATGCGGTATTTTTAAAAATATTTACTAATATGCTACACTTAAAATCGTTCTTCAGGTGAATAATTTTTAAAGTCATTTATCTGCTGAACGATTTCTTCATAATTTATCCTTGATGTGCATGAAAGCTTGTGTAGCATTTATCTGCACTTAAAATCATTCTTGGTAAGAACGACTTTCAAATTACACACAAGTCGTTCTTGGCGTGAACGATTTTAAAAATTGTTCTTGGCGTAAACGATTTAAAAATTGTTCTTGGCGTAAACATTTGTTAAATGAAGAAGTCGTTCAGCAGATAAATGACTTTAAAAATTATTCACCTGAAGAACGATTTTAAGTGTAGCATACTAGTAAATACTTTTAAAAGTACAGCATATTAGTATATAATTTTACTCTTTGTAGTATTTTGGTAAAAAAGCCAGTTGTGTGGCATTTGTTCGGTTTGACGAGAAATCAAATATTAGGCATAGACCTTTTATGCCTGTGACCAAAATAATAATAATAATAATTAGTCCTGCAACTTAATTGCTACAATTAAAAATTTACAATCAAAGCATAATTTTTTTTGTTACGTATTGTTTGGTATGAGAAAAATAAAAAGAAGAGGAAATGACAGAAAATTTCATCAAGC